AGAATTTATGAAGATATGTATGACGATAGTGCAGTGTTTTATACAGTTGCATTATTTTATGATACATACTTTATACTTGACATAGAAAATGGTCCAGTGGTAGACCAGTTAATTTTGGGATAGTCATACAGTGAAATAGAATGTAGCTGCTAAGTAATTGTAGACATGAGAAGATTATTTATTTATTTTTTTTTTAGCTGAGCCATCCTGCCACCTGTTGGCAGCTCAGCGGCTGCTCAGCTCGGGCTGGACTCGAACCGCTGTTGCTCAGAGCTCAAACTCTTGAGCGAGCTCTTAACCAACTGAGCCACTTGGCCGGCCCGAGAAGATGATTTAAATTGAAAAATTATTTGTGGATGAGTATGTATTATATACATTAATATTACGTTAATGTGTATATACGAGTACACAACTAAAAAGTGGTGAAAAATAGCGGCTATCTATAGTTGGTAAAATTATGGATCATTTTTTCTTTGCTAGGATATGGTATTCACTGAAAAAATATTTTAGCAGCTTTATTGAGATGTAATTCATAGCCCAAACTATTCATTTAAAGTGTACAATTCAGTAGATCTTAGTACATCCAGATAGTAGTACAGCCATTTGCACAATTTTAGAATATTTTCATCACCCCAGAAAGAAACCCATTAGCAGATACTTCTCATTTCTCCCCAATTCTCCCTCCTGTCTTGCCCTAGACAACCACTAACACACTTGCCTTTTTTGGGCATTTCAGGTAAATGGAACTATACAACATGTGGTCTTTAATGACAGGCTTTTTTCACTTAGCATGTTTCTAAGGCTCCTCATCTATATTGTAGCATGTGATAATACTTCATTTCTTTTATTGCCAAATATTGCCTTGTATTGATCTACCATATTTATTCATTCATTAGTTGATAGACATTTGGATTGTTTTATTTTTGGCTATTACAGATAATGCTGCTGTGAACATTTGTGTACAAGTTTTTGTGTGGACATGTTTGCATTTTTGTAGGAGTGGCATCCCTGGGTCATATGGTAATTCTGTGTTTAATCTTTTGAGGAATTGCCAGACTGTTTTCAAATCAGCTGACACTATTTTACATTCCTGTCAGCAATGTGTGAAGATTCTAATTTCTCCATGTCTTTGCCAAGACTTATTATCTGTCCTTTTTTTTTTAAAGATTTTTATTGGGGAATTGGGGGAAGGCGAACAGACAAGTTGCTGTCGTTTCGTTCTCCAGTCTAGCTCTGGAGGACTTTGCTTCACTGGCCCAACCTGGCACCATCATCGCGCTCCTCCCGGGCGAGGCAGATCAGTCGCCGGCCTCTGGACAGCCGCCCACTGCTGCCGCTGGCCGCTCACACTGGCTGCCTGCTGCTGGGTATACACGGTAGCCCATGGCAACCCACTGCCACAGGGACTGCAGCCTATGCCGTCGCCTCACGGCAGCCCAGCTCTAGGTCGAGCCGCCATCCAGCATCTTAGCTGTGGAGGGCAGTATCACTGGCCCTCATATGTGGGATCCGAACCGGGGCCCTCTGGCGTCCCAAGGTAGTTCTTAACCATTGCGCCACTCAGCCGGCCCTTATCTGTCCTTTTTTATTATAGCTAATCCGAGTGGGTGTTAAGGTAGAATCTTATTGTGGTTTTAATCTACATTTTACTGACAGCTAATGGTATTGAGCATCTTTTCATGTGTGAATATTTTTTTAACCTTCTATACATGACATGAAAGTGTCTTCAGGAAGTGATGCCAACAAAAAACATTAAATATATTTCACAACACTGAAGGTGTAATGCAAAGGATAAAATGTTGGAAGCTGATCAGACTTATAGAAACAAATAGGACAGTTGGTCAAGGCACAGAAAATGCGCTCACTTGGTATCATAGGTTATCTGATGAGAGGGAGGCAAGTACTGTGCAACTGAAATGAAACACTTCAAATCTCAATATTTCTAATATTTTAAATTACAGTCTACTAAATAAGTTTAGTTCTATTATTTCCTTGCACACTGTCAGTAATAGAGTGTTTAAAATTTTGACAGTATTTAAAGGTTATGGAACAATCATAATTTTTTCATTGTTTATTAAGATTGCCTTGCCCATTTTTATGGTCTCATTGTCATGCAAAGTGAGGACTGCCTGTTTTGAGAAAACAGAAATTCATGTACATTTAGCATGTCAAACTTATATACATTAAATAACATCGTGGGGGCCGGCCGAGTGGCTCAGTTGGTTAATAGATCGCTCAAGAGTTTGAGCTCTGAGCAACAGCGGTTCAATGCCCGGCCCGAGCTGAGCAGCCGATGAGCTGCCAACAGGTGGCAGGATGGCTCAGCTTGAAATAAATAAATAAAAATAAAAATAAATAACATCGTGGTAGAATCAGTCTTCTTTTGAATAGCTTTTAGGTTTAGAGTCATAATCTAAAAATGTCCCATGTATGAGGATTTAAAACATATTTCTGTAATTTTATTAAGTATTTAAAGTACCTTCCACTTGAATTTCCTGATGCCACCAATTTTCAGCCCTTTGGGGATTTTGAACTATTAATGAGGGTGCTGTCTGGTTTTCTACATTGCTGCTTAATATTCAACTTTTTCAGTCTTCTTTTCAGCTTCCAAATCTCCGTTGACATTGTCTCTCTAGTCTTTGGCCTTATGAGTTGTTTTTGTAGGGTTTTGGGGGGAGATTGCTTTGTTCTAACTAAAAGTGTATTTTATTTTTATTTTTTAAGATTTTTTTGGGAATTGAGGGAGGGAACAGCATTGGGGAAGTGGGGAAGAGGAACAGACAAGTTGCTGTCCTTTTGTTCTTCAGTCTAGTTGTGAAGGACTTCGCTTCATTGGCCTATGTTGGTATTGTGATCATTGCGCTCTTCCTGGCTGAGACAGATCGGTCGCCGGCCATTGGACGGCCGCTCACGGCGACTTATGACAGCTCACGCTGGCTGCCGGCGGCTCACGGAAGCTCATGGCAGCCCACTGAAGCCCTGCTGCAGCTTATGCTGTCGCCTGCGACTCACGGCAGCCCAGTTCCAGGTTGAGCTGTTCACAGTCTTAGCTGTAGAGGGTGCAGCGTCACTGGCCCATGTGGGATCTGAACTGGTGGCCCTACTGCTCAGAGCTTGTGCTCCCAAGCCAACTCTTAAGCAACAAGCCACTCAGCTGGCCCTGTATTTTATTTTTGATGGAGGTTTAACTCAAGTCATTTACTTAGAATTTGGAACTGATTACATAGGCGGAATCTTTTTACTGTTTTAATGAAATGTGTAAATTTTCTCATTTGAGACTAGGGGTAGGAATGAATGATGCCTATTGAAAGTCTGAATTGCTGTATCAAATGCGATGAAGATTTAAGTGTGCCTTAATTGATGTGCAATTAAAATACATGGATACAATGAGTATTCCTCAATTATAGAATTTAAATAATAAAGCTGACTTTTATATTCACTGATTAAATTTAAATAGAGCTCTAAGTCTCTTTTTAATTGAAACTTGATCTTAAAACCTTTTAAAATATTCTGACTGGAATGTTAATTATAGTCATTAGGTCCCCAATACTTAAAGAATTTCAGCAGAAAAGGAATTTGTGATAAATACCGAATTAGTAATTAATAATCTTAAATCATAGCACACTTTAGAGGAAATGAGCAGTAAATTGGTTTTCCTCTTTGGAGAAGACATACGAGTATAACAACCATCATAGCAAAAAAACTTGTACATACTGTGTATCTAATTCTGTAGAAATGACAGATTTCTACAGAACTGACTGACAAAGGGAGATAAAAGGAGTGTGTTCTAGAGAAAATAGCCTAAATACGTATGTATGTGTACACACACACACAGAGTTGAATCTCTGGTGGATTCCACACTTGTGAGTTCACCTGCTCACTAACGTGTGTTTGTAATCCCAAATCCATACTTGTGGTGCCTTCGTGGTCATGTCTACAAAGTGTCAGAAAGTTTGAGTAACTTGATGCACACATTCCTAGCTAAGACTGAACTAGGCAGTGCTCTGCCTTCTTGTTTCAGCTCTTATACTGTACACAAGAGTCCTTTAGCAGTCTTATGAGTTGTCATGGTTTGTGCATTTGTTAGTCATTTTGCTGTTTATAATGACCCTCAAATGTAGTGCTGAAGTGATATTTAGAGTTCCTAAGTGCAAGAATGCCACGCTGTCTCTTATGGAGAAAGTATGTGTTACATAAACTGTTGGCTGTGAGTGCAATGTTAGTGAATTACCAATATATATTAAATAAGGTGTCTTTGAACAGAAACACATAAAACAGGTTATGTATTGATTGGTTGACAAAAATGTTACTAGAGGCTCACAGGAACTTATGTTGTATTTCCCCTGGAGCATTGGTGTGATAGTCACTAATTCAGTATTTGTGATGACTTTATAGACATAATTACCACAAATACAAGAATTGACTGTTGTGTTTATGTGTGTGTATATGAATGAACAAATGAACCAGTTATAACATCTGATTACCTCATTGAATAAAGTAAAATTTTTGACACATTCATTTTATTATAGAAATTTGTATATATACATAGAACATACACGTATAGTAATGCACCTTTTTGACTGTTTTATGAGTTGTGTAACCAATACTTTGAAATAAAATTATATTTGGAGTGCATTTAAATGTATTGGTCAATGCAATCGTGTCAGTTTTTTTTTTCATTTTTGTGCATTTTTATATTGTAAAGTAGAATAAAATTTACCATTTTAACCATTTCTAAGTGTATATATAGTTCAGTGGCATTAAGTACATTCACATTGTGCAACTTGTTGGTTTTTTTAAAATAGGATTATGGATCTTGGAGCTTGTGACTGAATTTAAAAGTATTTGGAATTATAATTTGTGTCTACCCTTTTTGTGTAAGATTTTTAATGCATTTTACATTAAGAATTTTTGATAACTGCATGATAGAGTAGAGCTATTTAATAACTTATATTCAAGATTGCTTTGCACTCACATTTTTCCCCCCTCTCCTTTTTTAGTGCTTTTTTAGGCCCAAAGGATATATTTCCTTACTCAGAAAATAAGGAAAAGTACGGAAAACCAAATAAACGAAAAGGCTTTAATGAAGGTTTATGGGAGATAGATAACAATCCGAAAGTGAAATTTTCAAGTCAACAGGTGCGTCATATTACATAATATTTAGTTTAGTATTATGTATTCGGGGAATAATCACTTCTAGCTGTAGGAAAATAAATATTGATTGAAGAGACTTGTGAGTTTTGGATTAAATTGTTCTTATATGTGAGGTTGAACGTTGACTTTTCATATCTAGATGAATTGATAAAAATATTACCTGCATGGTTAAACAGATTTCTGAAAACTGATATGTACTCACTTATTTAATTCCTTCTAATTGAGCATTTATTTACTAATCATTGAATTTAAAGCCATATGTACTGTTCTTAAATTCAAGTTTATAACTTGAAGGGTTTGTTTTCTTATTCATTTTAATTTCTATATCCATAAAACTATATTAGAATATGATCCTCACATGGGTTAAATTACATGTGACAGAAGTACTTATAGCACTTTGAAAATTATACTTAATGTTTTTGGTATCTAGAAAATTAGTCTTAAACTTTCTTTTTATTCTGTTTTTATGTGTCCCAAGCTTTTGTTTATTTATATTAGACTTGAGGTAGTATAGTAAACACTAGGAAGAGTATCAGTAAACCTAAAGAAAGAAAGAGATAGCAACAAACTGAAAAATTTGCAACTGTCTACTTATAACTCTTTTTTTTCAGTTCTTTATGTGCCATGCTTTTTCTCATCTTTGAGACCTTTACAGAAGCTGTTCTGTCTGGAACATTTAAATCTTTCATGGGTGCTCCAGCTCTGCATTAGATGATCCTAAGTGCCTTCATTACCATGCAAAGCTTATTTGTTGCAGTGCTCATCATACCACATCGTAAATGCTGCTGTTCTTGTCTTACCTGCCACAGACTATCAGCTTCATGAACAAAGGAGTTGTATGTCCTGGCATTGTTACATGTGTGGGCAGAATAGGTAGTCACTGAATATTTGTTGCATGAATGTAAGAATGGATGGTTTCCCGTCATTAGTGCCTTGACTGTGTAAAGGGAGTCCAAAGAGATTGAATTGATTATTGCCTGAAACTAACATTTTATAGCTTCACTTGAGTCCTGTGTCCTGTAGTTGTGCCTTCAGGATCTTTTTCATACTCCAGATTGCCAAGCATGGTCACCTTATCCTCTGTTTTTATGTACCTACTTAATCTCCAAATAGTTTTCACCATATCCTTGGAATTTCCCATTTCACAGTGAAATTTGTGGTAGGTTGTGTGCGCAAAACCCACCAATGTTTTCGTCTGTAACAAAAGTATAAATGATTGTACTAATGAGATGTACTACTGTGTTCCTGGCCCAGACACATCCCCAGTGGCTCATTCCCAGAGTTTGGGGAAAGCAGTCATGCCCAAACTTATTCAAAAACAAAAAATTGGCCATCATAATTTATTCTGTTTATATGTTTATATAAACATATGTTTATATGTCATAATTTATATGTTTATAAACATAAAATTTCTATAGTGCTGTAAGTAATTTGGGGTCATTTTAATATTTTTTTTTGGTTGTAATATAATTTTGTGGTTTATCAGCATTGCTCCCCCCCCCCCTTTTTTTTTGTTGCAAAAGAGGAAATGGGTTTAACCATTTTAAAAACTTGCCAGAATAAACAGCTAGAAAGGGGCACAGTTTGGAATATAATGCTATGATCTCGTAGATCTGTGCGTTCCCTCACCTACCAGTGTGTACTGTGTTGCCTCTGTTATTATTCATCTTTTTGGTTGGTGTTGTGAAAGTCTAGAGCCTTTAGATCTAGACCACCTCCTTATGTATATCATCTGGGGATTCTTTTAAAGTTTAATAATGATTACTGGACACCCACGCAGTACCTATTAAATTAGAATCACTTAAGTTTGGATAAAGTCTTTAAATAAAGCTGCGATATCCTTTGCTAAGGCTGTTTGTCTTGAGTACATAGATAAGCTTCTCTCCAGAGTCTTTCAGTAGTTGAATACAGTCTAGGTCTATGCTATTCTAAACTAAACTACATTGCATCTTGTTGCATATTTGTTGGTTAGAGCATCAGGATAGTATTTTTTGTAACTGTACTTTCAGCCTCACTATTTTATCCTCTGCAGCTGTCTACATTCAGTTGTAGGAATACAACCCCTTATAGACTTTTCTTATAAAAAGAAAAATTAGCATTTAAAACTATTTTTTTTTTTTT